CCTCGTTTATTACTTTGTAGAATGGCTAATAATGGCAATGAAAGTGAGTCATCCGTCAATGGCACTGAATCGGTGGAAAAAATAATAGAAAGATCGGTTACTAGCTTTTTGCAAGCTTTGCAAACTAACATCAATAATGGGATGCCGGAACGGCGAGAAGAGCCGGTTACCATAAAACAGTTCCAGGATTTGAAACCCACCACATTTACCGGCGGCCCAGACCCAATGGTAGCAGACGCTTGGGTTAAAGACATGGAAAAGATTTTTCGTGCCCTACCCTGCACCGAAAGACAAAAGGTAACTTTCGCCACTTTCGCCACTTTCGACACTTTCACTTTCAAAGACAATGCAGAGGAATGGTGGCTTCTCACTCTGGCCAAAGAAGAAATTACGACTTGGGCAAGATTCTTGGAAGTATTTTACGAAAAATACTTCCCAGATTCATTGCGGGAACAGAAGGCATCCGAATTCATACATCTAAAGCAAGGAACCATGACGGTGGTCGAATACAAGAGCAAGTTCACACAACTCGCTCGGTTTGTAACATACGTCATCCCCACCGAAACTCGAAAAGCAAGAAAATTCGAAGCAAGATTGGATGCTAAAATTAAAGATAGGCTCGAGGTCTTGAAACTGCCAACCTATGCAGAAGTGGTAGACTAGGAGTACATTGCAGAAAAGGGGATTAAAGCCTCGCGTTCTGGGGAACCAAGCCAAAAGAAGCTATTCTGGGAAAGAGACAACAGAAGACCCAGTGTTGCGCCTCCTAAAAAGGTGAATACGGGCACAACCAGTTCCGGCCATCAAGGTCCTACCAACCCCCGAGGTGGCATTGTTCCAATTTGTCCCACTTGTGGGAAGGCTCATTAGGGACAATGCCATTGAGACACAGGAGCATGTTTTAAATGCGGTCAAGTTGGCCACTTGTTGTGGGATTGTCCAAAGCTAACTAATCCTACAACCAGCCCCTCTGGCCCAGTCAGAAAACCTGCGGGACCTGGAGGAGAGAGGAATGACCAAAAAGGCCAAGGACGGGCTTTCGCCTTGGTACTTGGAAAACCAAAAGTTACCAAAAACATTATGTCAGGTACACTTTCTGTCTGTGGTCATTTAGCTCATGTCCTCATTGACTCTGGGTCAACTCATTCTTTTGTTGCACCACACTTTGCTACCAAGTTGGCAACAACACCCGAACCATTAGGATATATTTTCTGTATCTTTTCCTTCTGGTAAGTCTGCCTGTAGTACTGATGTGTACAGATCATGTGCTATATCCTTAAAAGTCCAAACCTTATATGTAGACTTGATTCCCCTCCGCATTGGGAACTTTGATGTGATCTTAGGTATGGATTGGCTGGCTGCCAACCACGCCTCTATTGATTGTAAAGCCAAAAAGGTCTTCCTCAGGTTACCAAACCAACCCGAACTTGTCTTTGATAGGGCTGGAGTTTCCAACCCTCCCTGTATTATATCCTTCATGACAGCCCAACGACTTCTAAGAAAAGGGTGTGATAGTTATATATGTTATGTAATCGATACACAAAAAGAGGCCCCCACCGTTGATGCAATCCCCGTGGTTCGAGAATTTTCAGATGTTTTTCTTGAAGATCTACTCGATATTCTGGTTGATTGAGAAATCGAGTTCACCATTGAAGCCCAACCTGGCACACAACCAATATCAAAAGCTCCTTATCGCATGTCGATGACAGAATTGAAAGAGCTGAAGACTCAACTCCAGAAACTACTGGACAAAGGTTTCATTCGACCTAGTACCTCACCCTGGGGAGCTCCAATATTGTTCATGAAGAAAAAGGATGGCACGATGAGGTTATGCATCGATTACCGAGAGCTGAACAAGGTCACCATCAAGAATTGGTACCCTCTGCCACGAATTGATGACTTGTTCAATCAACTTCAAGGTGCCCAAGTATTCTCAAAATCGACTTGCGTTCTGGTTACCATCAACTAAAAATCAAAACAGAAAGCATTGAAAAGACTGCCTCCAAAACCCATTACGGGCACTACGAGTTTCTTGTCATGCCTTTTGGCGTCACAAATGCCCCAGCAGCCTTCATGGACCTCATGAGCCGAGTGTTCAAACCCTATCTTGATGAGTTCATCATCGTCTTCATTGACGACATCCTCATATACTCCAAGTCACTAGAGGTCCATGAGCAGCACTTGCAAACGGTTCTACAAACACTATGTGATCACAAACTTTATGCCAAGTTGAAGAAATACGAATTCTGAATCACTAGTGTATACTTTCTCGCTCACATCATTAACAAAGATGGCATCTCGGTTGATCCCCAAAAAGTTGCAACAATCGTGGATTGGCCACGACCTACTAATGTGTCAGAAATCCGAAGTTTCTTGGGTCTAGCTGGCTATTATCGACGCTTCATGCAAGATTTCTCAAAGATAGCATCACCCTTGACCCAGCTAACTCAGAAAAACACACCCTTTGAATGGACTGACAAACAAGAGCGTTGCTTCCAAGAATTAAAAATTTGACTTGTGTCAACTCCTATACTAGCACTCCCTACATGAGCAGATGGGTTCGTAATTTATAGTGATGCCTCAAACAATGATTTGGGTTGTGTTCTCATGCAAAACGGAAAAGTCATTACTTATGCGTCACAACAATTAAAGACTCACGAGAAGAACTACCCGACTCATGATTTGGAATTGGCTACGGTAATCTTTGCCCTCAAAATCTGGCATTATTATCTCTACGGTGCAACCTGCGAGATTTACACTGATCACAAGAGCCTTAAATATCTGTTCACACAGAAGGAATTGAATATGAGGTAACCGCGGTGGCTAGAATTTATGAAAGACTATGATGTAGAGATTCATCACCATCCAGGCAAAGCTAACGTGGTGGCAGACGCACTGAGTCGAAAGATGACCAGAGGTTTGACATGTACTCTCGTTTCCCACAAGATCAATGGACTACTCACCAACATAACCGTGGAACCTACATTGATTGAAGAAATTAAAGCGCGCCAGTGTGAAGATAAACTTTTGAAGAACAAGTACGATGAGCAAAGAAGTACGTCTGACCCTGATTTCAATATAAGCAATGGAATACTAAAATTTAGGAATCGAATTTGCGTACCCGACATTCCGGAACTCAAGAAGAAAATACTGGTAGAAGCTCATAGCTCGAGATTTGCAGTCCACCCTGGCAACACAAAGATGTACCATGATCTAAAGGAACACTACCGGTGGACAGGAATGAAAAGAGACATAGCAAGCCATGTCTCCAAATGTTTGCATTGTCAGCGTGTTAAAGCAGAACATCAGAGACCTGCAGGACTGCTGTAACCACTCCCTATTCCTGAATGAAAATGGGAGCACATCACTATGAACTTCGTGGTCGGGCTACCACAGTCATTTTCGAAGAATGATGCAATATGGGTTATAGTAGACCGATTGACGAAGCCGGCGCATTTTCTACCAATCAAAATCATGTACTCCTTTAATAAGTTTGCCACTTTATACATCAATGAAATTATTCGTTTGCATGGTATCCCAGTTTCGATCGTGTCTGACGGAGACCCCCACTTCATGACTTACTTCTGGAAAAAATTGAAAGAAGCTTTGGGGACTACACTGAAGTTTAGCACGGCTTATCATCCACAAACGGATGGGCAATCCAAAAGAACAATCCAGACATTGGAAGACATGTTATGTGTGTGCGTATTGGACCTCAAAGGTAACTAGGATGAGCACCTACCTTTAGTGGAATTAGCCTATAACAACAGCTACCAAGCAAGCATTGGAATGGCACCGTTCGAAGCTCTATATGGAAGGAAATGTCGATCATCTCTGTGTTGGACAGAAGTCGGGGACAGGAAACCGTTAGGCCATGAGATCGTGCAAGTCACAAGTGAGAAAATTCAACTCATCCAACAACGAATTCGCACTGCTCATAACCGCCAGAAAAGTTATGCAGATATACGGAGACGGGACTTGAAATTTCAAGTAGGAAATCATGTGTTCCTTAAAATCTCACCAACTAGAGGAGTTATCCGATTTGGAAAGCAAGGAAAGTTAAACCCACATTACATCGGGCCATTCGAGATACTGGAAAGGATTGGTCCTGTAGCCTATCACCTTGCACTACCTCCTGAATTATCCAATGTCCACAATGTGTTTCACGTTTCAATGCTCCGACGGTACCTCCGAGATCCAGAACATGTCGTCGACTATAAGAACCTGGAAGTTCAAGAAGATCTCTCTTATGAAGAGCAACCAGTGCAGATTCTCGATCGTCGTGATCAAATTCTCCGAAACAAGACCATACCGCTGGTAAAGGTCTTATGGAAAAATCATCGGATCGAAGAAGCTACATGGGAAACGGAAAGTCAAATGCGAGCCAAATACCCACACCTCTTTGAAAATTAAGGTACGTCAAGTTTGGGGACAAACTTCTATTTAGGAGGGGAGAAATGTGACACCCTAAACGTTTAATTAAATATCACATAAATATTTATAGTTATATATAATTGTGGGTGTATGTGATAATGTATTATTAAATAAATAATGATAAGTAAATAAATCTAATTTGGTATTGGGTTATAAAATATGGGATTAATTAGGGATTATTAATTGGGGCCAAATTAACACAAATATAAAATTATAATACTAGTTGGGCCAAATTAGAATTAAAGATAGTAAATAAATAAATATAAAGGTAAGAATAAATAAATAATAATATTGATGACAATAATAATAATAATAGTGGGTGTGGTAGTAAAATAAATAATTAATTTTCTGTTGGTATACGATAAAGTGTAATTTAATTAGGGATTAATTTATTTATATGATTATTGGGCAAAAATGTAATTACCATAAACATTTATTAAGATAATTATAAATCTATGTTAATAATGAGCATATCCAGGTGAGATTGAAACAAATCTGTGGAAAGATTCAAGATTGGCCACGTGTTGGCCGGATAGTGGTTCTACCTCCGGAGGGGTTTGAGAGGAAAAATGAAGGAAAATTCTTAGAGATATTGTGTAAAAGGGGATCTTGTGAAGGTAGGAAAAATATGAAGGAAATAGTGAGACTCAATCTTAAGATGAGTTATATTATATTTGGAGTCACCATAATATATTTTACTTACGTTTTGACCTATCATAATTTATTTTACACACGTTATGTTTATAAATTATTATAAATTATATTAATATTTCAATTACATGGGTTAGTTTTTGAACTCTATTTATCTAAAATGAAACTCATGGATATGTTTGTTTAAATTTTAGTATATATTTGACTATGACCTTATAAATAATTATGTTTTGTAAGTACCATCACGTGAGTCCCACGCTTTGGGGGACTTAAATAACTATTTGCCTCTGTTTGGCCACTTCGTGGTCCTCTGTTTGTCATGGATCCATTGACCTCTATTATGTTTTGTTCTGTACCGTGGTTATGGTTATTTATTTACATAATTTCTGTATTTCAGTTTCTGCCACTTAAATGATTTATTTTACCAAATTGAGTTATGTAAATGTTTTGGCTTAACTAACTATCCATGGTTATTTTGTATTTCATGTACTCTTAGCATAATATTTCTCACTCTGCTGTGTACTTATAGTTGTTACCCTTTCATATGACGAGATGTATAGGAAACCCATAGCCTCACG